ACATTCTTCCGTGAATGAGATATGAGACAGGTATTTTATTTTTCAGGGTGTCGCATTCATCCAATATAGAGAACTTATAGATCTCTGGTTGAATGAGGAAAAGGACTGCCAGATTTTTCAACAAATTAGGTTCCTTCTCGAGGTCTCTTACATTTTAGTCTCGCATCTAGTCTTTGAATAAGCATTATAGTCTGTCCAGCCTATTCAAGTGACCTTAGATCCTTATTCATATTCATTAGATGTGGTTCCAGCTCCGCCACGAGTGGTTAAGGCATATCAAGTTGGACACACATACGATCAAGTGTCTTCACATCCTTAAAAAGAACAATGGACTTCCAGAGTTGTAATCTTCCCCCGTACCATGCCTAGATCAGCCCACAACTGATCCCCAGGCCTTACCTCCCCATGCCGAGACATCTACCGATTGGGGATCGATACACTATTGGACCTAGATCATCTCTACGATCGGCTCTGGATCGAGGCTCCAACCGATCCGAGAGTCGAAACACTATCGAGGCCGGATCAAGACTCCACGGATTCGCCTATGCTTCCGGATCAGACCCTATCGATCTCCTATTGAGCCAAAACGAGTCTCTACCGAGGGAAAAGAATGATGATGAGCTAAGCAAAATGAGGGAAAAGAATAATGAGTTGCAAACAGATGATCATTCTTAATTAATTTGGGAACACAAGGGATATATCATATGACATGGGACGAACTGTTTACTATCCACCTTTGAGGACAAAGTGAATCTCTTAGGCGGGAGTATTGATATGGGTCTGAAATTGAAGGAAGAGAACGAAGCCCAAGTCCATATCTTCTTATGTTTTGTTACCGTTCATGCCATTATCTGTTTCGATCTATACTTATGCTATTTCGGTCTTTGTAAACATTTCATCAAAGAAATACAATCAATTAAATATCACTTCTTCTTCATAGTTCTTCTCTCCTTCTCGTCTTCTATCTATTTTTATGATCTTGTCCCCTACTTCTTTTGCTTTCTCATCGCCTTTATGTTCTTACGATAAGCTGATCTTCAAGCTCATCACAAAGTGAATATATTTCTATAATAGAAGTATGATTTGTTATTTGTTCCAAGTCGTTAATCAACTCTTACTAAATTAGGTGTGTGATAAATATTGACCACAGAGAGAAAAGTCAGGATGTTGCATAAATAGTTAAGAGTTTTAAGATTACTCCCTCCTTTCTGTCAAACCTTTAAAAAAGTCTTTTTCGTTTTTTTCTTCTTTCCTTTTGGTTGTTAGTCGGACAACCTGTACAGCGATTCTTGTCTGACCAGCAACAGAAGAAAGAAGGTACGTACAAAGGAAGATTTTACGATGATTTCTCTACAAACCATGACAATGTCGTCGACTTGATTGAATTTTTGTTTCTTTATCTAACTCGAAACCATTCATCAAACATTATTTGCAACATTTGAATACAAGGAGCAGCCCAGGAGGAGGGAGTTTTGGATAAAAAGGTGACTTTATAATTTAATTATACATTTCTTTTCTTTAGAGTTTCTTAGCAAAAAAAAGTAAAATCCTGGAATTACTACGTTCAGATGTGTTATTAGAAATGACTGAAAATGTTTTACATTGTTCCACTTTTACATCACCAATTTAATAAATATTCGTGTGTTTGGGAAAATATAGATAAACTTTAAAAACAAATAAGAACAAAACTACTAAATTTTCTACAATCCCTACATAAATTTCATATAATTAATAAGTTTTAAGGTAAATTTGAATTTTATGAAACTAAACATTTTTTAACTAAATCATCTAAAACATGATTTCTTAAGTTCTGCATCAACCAATCAAACACTAAATCATTTTTATTGTAAACAAGACAACCGTGGTACAAAAAAATTACGAATTTAGTATTTGTTTGTTGTTGACTCCATTAATGTAGAATATCATATTTTCTTAAGTTTCAACCAAAATGATTTTAAAATCACAAAGAAACAGTAAATATAACTACAACTTGTGTATAAGTGAAGAGATTCACATTTTCTTCAGTATCTTATCACTTGGAAGTTATTTTTGTATACAGAAAAGAGAAGATGTCAAAGCCTCCCTCCTCATCGAGTCAGCAAGAGACTCATGTGTCTTCTCCTCGGCTAAGGTACTGATATGTTTCCAATACGTCTACAATGATCCTCTGCATTGCTCTCTCTAATTAAGGGTCGATTTTTGGTGCAGGGACAACAATAAAACAATAACACCGGAAATGGATGATCCAGAGAAAGCAGCAGTGACGATCACACGCCTCATCGAGCAGCTTCATGCCAAGAAATCAACGGCACAAGAGATAGAGCTCAGCACCGCTCGACTTCTCGGTCTAGCCAAAGGTAAAAAAGAGTGTAGAAAGATCATTGGGCGGAACGTGAACGCCATGACTTCCTTCATATCACTTCTCAGGGATGGAACCCTTTTGGCGAAACTCAATTCCGCTTCAATCCTGACCATTCTATGCAAAGACGAAAACGTTCGTTCTAAGGTACTGATAGGCGGATGCATCCCACCGCTGCTGTCACTTTTGAAATCTGACACATTGGATGCAAGAAGGGCTGCAGCCGAGGCCATATATGAAGTCTCCATGTGTGGAATGGATGATGATAATGTAGGTACCAAGATATTTGTCACGGAAGGTGTGGTACCGAGTTTGTGGGATCAGTTAAAGATGAGAAAAAAGCAGGACAAGACGGTTGAAGGATATTTGGTTGGAGCTTTAAGAAATCTTTGCGGCGATCGAGATGGTTTTTGGACAGTAACGCTTGAAGATGGCGGAGTTGATATCATCTTAAGGCTTCTACAGTCTAGTAACCCTGTATCTCAATCAAACGCAGCTTCTCTTTTAGCTCGTCTTATTAGGATTTTCACTAGTAGCATCTCAAAAATAGTAGAGTCAGATTCTGTACAAGTTCTAGTTCAGCTTCTATGTGAGTTAAACAGTGTTTCGGTGCGTGCCAATGTAGTCAATGCTCTAGAAGCCATCACAGCAAAGTCAGATGAAGCTAGGAATGTGGTTAGAGATTTGGAAGGGATCCACCTTCTGATTGGCGCAGTAGTTGCTTCGTCTAAAGAGTCTGTGGATGAAGAAAACGAACGCGTCTTGCAAGTTTATGGGACACAAGCTTTAGCAAACTTATGCGGAGGGATGTCAGCTTTGATAGTGTATCTTGGAGGGCTATCATTGTCTCCACGCCTCACTGAGCCCATTGCTGATATTCTTGGAGTTCTTGCTTATGCTCTGAGGAAGTTTCAATTAACTTGTGGCGATGATAAAGAAGCTTTTGATCCATCTCTAACAGAAGGAATACTAGTGAAACTCTTGAAGCCTCGGGATACTCAACTGATCCAAGAACGTATCTTGGAAGCTATGGCAAGTCTTTATGGAAATGGTAATGTATCGAGATCACTCAACAATGCAGAGGCTAAGAGGGTTTTAGTCGGGCTAACAATCTTGGCCACAGCGGGTCCACGTGAGCGGATGATAACTTGTTTGTCAAACTTATGCAAACATGGGAATGTCTGGGATGCTATTGGCAAGAGGGAAGGGATTCAAATCCTCATACCATTTCTTGGCTTGTCCAGCGAACAACATCAGGAACTGTCTGTTGAGTTCTTAGCGATCTTGACTGACGAGGTTGATGAAAGCAGATGGGCTGTTACGTCTGCAGGTGGAATTCCTCCATTGTTGCAGATACTAGAGACTGGTGTGTCTCACAAGGCAAAAGAGGATGCAGTACGTGTCCTTTGGAACCTATGTTGTCATAGCGAGGAAATTCGTGACTGCGTTGAGAAAGCAGGGGCTATTCCTGCACTCTTAGGGCTCTTAAAGAACGGTGGACCAAAATCGCAAGAGAAGTCAGCAAATACACTTGTGAAATTGATTAGAACAGCTGACCCCAGTGTTATCGAGCAAGTACAAGCTCTGTTTCTCGGAGATGCTCCGAAATCAAAAGCTCATGTGATGAGAGTTCTAGGCCATGTTCTTGCATCGGCTTCGTTAGAGGAATTTGTCACTAAGGGTTCTGCAGCAAATAATGGATTGAGGTCTCTTGTCCAGAGACTTGCCTCGTCAAACGAGAAGATGAAAGAGAACGCAGCTTCTGTCTTGGCTGATCTATTCAGTTCAAGAAAAGACCTTTGTGGCGGTCTTGGATTTGATGAGAATGATAATCCATGCACAAAGCTTTTAAGTGGAAACACTCACGCTGTTGCAACGCAATTAGCGCATGCCCTAGGCTCTCTATCCAATCCAACAAAGAAAAAGACTGGCCAAAAGAAGTTATCTGGTTCAGAAGTTGAAGTGATCAAACCATTGATAAAATCAGCAAAAACAAACCCAATCGAGTCAACAGAGAATCCCATATCTACTCTTGCAAACCTTCTTTCAGACCCAAATGTTGCAGCTGAAGCTTTAGATGACGATGTTGTTTCTGCTTTGACCAGAGTACTAAGGGAGGGAACACTGCAAGGTAAGAGAAATGCTTCACATGCTCTTCATCAGTTACTAAAGCATTTCCAGGTCAATGATGTATTCAAAGGAAATGATCAGTGTCGATTTGCTGTTCCTGAACTTATTGATCTCTTAAACGCAACGGACTTGAACAACAACGCTTATATAGACGTCTTAGAAATACTCTCTTTGCTGGCCAAAGCTAAATATGGTGCTAACTTGTCCCATAACCCCTTTTCTGCATTCACCGAAGTTCCTTCGAGTTTAGACTCTCTTGTCCGTTGTGTGGCTGAAGGTCAACCTTTGGTGCAAGATAAAGCAATAGAGATTTTGTCTCGCTTCTGCAAGACACAGTTTGTCTTGTTGGGTGAACTATTGGTCACACGATCAAAATCAATATGTTCATTGGCTGACAGGACAATCAGCTCGTCCAGCCCTGAAATTAAAGTCGGAGGGGCTATGTTGCTCGTGTGCGCAGCAAAGAACAACAAAAAATTATGGGCAGAAGTAATTGGACGATCAGGGTACTTGAAAAGCTTAGTAAACACTCTTCTGGATATGCAACAGAACTCTAAATGTTCTTCATATAGCGTTGAAATTCAAAGACCAAGATCTCTCATCACAAGCAATTTGTGCATAAAGATGGATGACTCTGAAATCGTTGATCCAGTTACTGTCTTGGGAAGCACAATCTCTATGTGGTTACTCTCCATTGTTTGCTCTACTCATCCCAAGAACATACTTGATGTCATGGAAGCCAATGGACTTGAAATTATCACAGAGAAGCTTCAAAGATACAAGTCCGACACACAGGTAGATAAGTATACTCCTAACTTTCTTCTTTTTTTTTCTTCTTCTAAATCATGCAAGTGTTGGCGTTTCTGAGCTATGATCTTTAATTTTTCCAGGAGAATATCTCGGATTCTGAAGAAAAATGGATTGCTATATCACTACTAGCTGTTATGTCTCAGGAACCAAACGTTGTCTCATCCCCAGCTACAGCAAATCTTGTGCCAACTCTAGCTTTTCTGATGCAGTCTGATCAGTTGATTGATGGATATTTTACTGCACAAGTTTTGGCAATGTTAGTTCGTAATAAGAATGATAAAACCATTGCAGAAATCATGAATTCAGATACCTTAGAAACTTTGATAAACTTGGTTGGGTATGGAGAATCAGACACATGGAGTCTTGGTGCCTTAGCAGAAGAGTTATCTTTGTTAAAAGAACCTTGTGAGGCCACTTTAGAGGCACTCCTCGAAGATGAAAGAGTAAGATGTAGTTCATTTATCCAAAAATGCATTAATTTGCTGGTGGATCTATTGAAGCCAAATGCAGATAAACCTAGCGCCTTAATAGTAGCTGTTCGGCTTCTGAGTCGCATTGCAGAGCAGGGTGATTCGAGTAAACTACTTATCGCTGAAGCTGGAGCTCTGGATGTTTTAGCAAAGTACCTTTCATCGAGTCCTCAAGATTCGACTGAGTTCACTGTTTCTGAACTGTTAGGATCCCTTTTCAGTAGCCCAGAAATCACACGGCACAAAACAGCTATAAGTTCCATGAAGCAGCTAATAGGAATTCTTCATCATGGTAGTAGAAGTACCCGCTATAATGCTGCAAGAGCTCTTCGCGAACTTTTTAGCTCTGAGCACATCAGAGATTCTGAATTAGCATGGAAAGCGTTTTCCCCTCTTATTGAAATGTTGAATATTACGTTGGAGAGTGAGAGAGAGGCTGCTCTAACTGCTTTAGTGAAGCTAACTACGGGAAAAAGTCGAAGGCCAAATACTCTTAGTAGTCTTGCAGGAAACCCATTGGAGAATATCTACAAAATTTTATCTTCAAATAGTTCATTGCTTGAATCAAAGACAAGTGCTGCAAGGATATGTTGTTTTATGTTTAACAATGAAGATTTGAGAGCAAGCTCACCCGCCGAAGATTGCATGGTACCTCTTATATCACTTATCTTGTCAGGAACAAGTACTGCTGTTGAAGCCGGGATGGTTGCACTTGACAGACTCCTTGATAGCAAAAGAATCTCAGAGATCGCAGAAGAACATGATTGTGTGAATCTGTTCTTCGGCTTTGTGGCGTCTGGCAACTATCCGATTAGTGAGGCTGCAATTTCTTGTCTTGTAAAAATGGTTAAAGACAAGACTCCACGTAAAATGGATCTGATTAAAATGGGGATAATAGAGCAATGTCTTGGTCAACTCTCAAGATCTCCTCCAAATTCTTTATGTTCTGTAGTCGCGGAGCTTTTCAGAGTTTTGACAAATGTTGGTGTTGTAGCTAGAAGCCAAGAGGCAGTAAAAATGGTACAACCGCTCCTCTTAATTCTGCATAGAGAAGACTTGGATTTTCAAGGCCAACTCGGAGGTTTACAAGCAATAGCAAACATCTTGGAGAAGCCAATGGTTCTTGACTCATTAACAATTCCATCTTCAGCCATCATTATGCCTTTGATACCATTTCTTGAATCTGAATCTACAGCGATCCAACATGTTACCACACAACTACTGACATCTCTACTCGAAACGCAACGTTTCCAAGAAGAAATAACGACCAAGAGTCTCATTGCTCCTCTTGTGAAACTTGCGGGGATCAGCGTAAGAAACTTGCAAAAGATAGCATTGATGGGTTTAGAGAAATCCTCGGTTACATGGACGAAAGAGATAGCAAATGCCGAAGGAATCCTAGAGCTCTCCAAGGTTATCATCGATGAAGATCCTCAGCTTCCTGTATCTCTATGGGAATCAGCAGCTTTCATTCTCAGCAAAATTCTCACATTTAACCCAGAACACTATTACTTCATAGTGGCCGTACCAGTTTTGGCAAAAATGTTGTTTTCAACAGCCGAGAGCATAGTGATCTTAGCCATCGACGCATTGGTCATCCGTGAGAAGCAAGACTCATCAAGTGTTCTAGAAATGGCTGAAGCCGGTGCACTCGATGCATTACTTGATCTTCTAAGATCACACCAGTGCGAAGAACTCTCTGGAAGATTACTCCACCTGATATTGCGCAATCCAAAGGTTAGAGAGACAAAGATCTGCAAGTTTGTAATGACCCCCTTGTCAAACTACATACTAGACCCAGAGACAAGATCAGAATCCACAAAGCTTCTAATGGCCATGGCCCTTGGTGACATCTCTCAACATGAAGGACTCGCTAAAGCCACGGAATCGGCGTTCGCTTGTCGCGCACTAGTCAGCTTGATTGAAGATGAACCAAGCGATGAAATGCAAATGGTTGTGATTTCTGCATTGGGTAACTTTGCAATGCACAGTAGAACTAGCAGAAAAGCTATGGCGGAATCAGGTGGAGTTTTTTTGGTTCAAGAGATGCTTAGGTCTTGCAATTCACAAGTTTCTACTCAAGCAGCTCTAATGATCAGATCTCTCTTCTCTAACCATACACTTCAAGAGTACATCTCTAGCGAAATCATCACATCTCTAACAGGTAAAGTTCCGATACCAAAATCTTGTTTTCGTACACAAATTCGATTCCATGAACTCACAGTACATTTGACGCAGTGGCGATGGAGAGAGAGCTTTGGACGACTGCGACGGTAAACGTGGAAGTGATGAGAACGCTAAACGCTATACTCACGACGTTCCCAAAGCTCCGATCGTCAGAGGCGGCAACAGCGTGTATCCCTCACCTAATCGGAGCTCTGAAATCAGGCGAGAAAGAAGCAAGAGAATCAGCGTTAGAGACGCTATACACGTTGAGACAGTCGTGGATAAGCATGTCGACGGAGACGGCGAGATCACAGGCGGTTCTAGCGGCGGAAGCGATACCAGTGCTGCAATTGATGATGAAATCAAACACTCCGGCGAGCTTCCACGAGAGAGGAAACAGCCTCTTGAATTGCTTGCCGGGGAGCCTCACGGTGGCGGTGAAACGCGGCGATAATCTCAAGCGATCTACAAATGCGTTTTGTAGCTTAATCATCGATAACTGCCCCACCAAGAAAACCAAGGTAATGCATTCGGTTTAATTCTGGTTCGGTTTTGATCTTTTAACTACAAATTCTGGTTCGGTTTCAGGTTGTGAAACGCAGCAGTTCACCGGTATGGAAAGAATCATTCACATGGGACTTCACTGTTCCTCCAAGAGGGCAATTTTTAGAAATTGTTTGCAAATCTAACAACATCTTTCGCAACGTACGTGGATGCATTTTTTTTTTATTTAAAATATCTTCAGAATTCATGATTTTTTGTTTTTTATATATTCAGAAAAATTTGGGTAAAGTGAGGATTCCTATCGATAAAGTGTTGACGGAAGGGAATTACAGTGGAAGTTTCAGGCTAAGTGACGAAAGTAAAAATGATGGTTCTGATAAAACTCTAGAGGTCGAGATTGTATGGTCTAACCAGACATTTTAATAAGGTCTTTGTAATTACTGTAAAAATTAAAATCTCTTATTCTGTTTTGTAATCTCCAATGAGTCCTAAGTTGTGTATAAAGTAAATGTTTGGATATCTTAATTAATCAAAATATTAATAGATATACTCCATCTCGTCATGATTTGGGAAGCTTATCGCAATTTGCTGAAACCCATCCAAGTTGTTGCTTCTCGTTGTCATAGATCATCATAATCCCTTGCATAAAGATATCTTCATT